TCTCTGGGAAACATTACTGAATGCAGCCTCTATTTCAAGCTATTCTAGTTCAAAAAAACAGATAGCTATCTTTTTATAACCCTATATGCCTTGCTTTATTGGACTTCTTTCAAAACATTATTACAGCATATGGACTTCCTCTCCTAGTGCTTTGAATTGGAAACTTTTAATTTTTAATTATGATTGTTGTGTGTGTGTGTGGCTTTTGTTTTGAAGCTTTAAACAAATGCTGCTATTTAGGTTGTGCTACATTTCATTTTTTTAAAAAATAGTAAATACACTTAAGTTCCATATTTGCAGATATTTCACATGAATGAACGATACTAAGAAACTTCTCCTCTAAGTACTAAGCTATTTTTAATATGAAAGAAACATCCTTTGCTCTGTGAGCTAATCTAAGATCATGCAACAGAGAGTAAGCTACAAATCACAAATGAAAAAACAGAACAGACTTTGAAAGTACTGCTTGCGCAATAAAATGACTTACTGGAAAATTGTAATAATGACAAATTACTGAGCAGGAAACTGCCAGTAGACTCTTACATTGCTTCTAGACAAAACCTGAAGCATTTGAGGTGAAAAAATTGGAAATATACTAGTAATACTTGATTTATAACACAGATACTGAGAGTGAAATATTGACAGCAATATATTGCCTTTTATAAAGAAATGCAAAAAAGTGTCATGAGTGTAATATTAATGTAATGAAGCATTGTGCTCTGCATATAAAATTTCAAATTATTTTTTATTTAAAATCTGGATTAACCATCCTCAGTGGTGTTAGAAGCCAGCATGGTCTAGCGACCAGGGTCTAAACCCCTTCTTGGCTATAGAAACCCACTGGGTAAGCAAGTTACACTCTCTCAGCCTAAGGGGAATGTAATAGCAAACATCCTCTGAATAAACCTTGCCAAGAAAACCATGTAATGGGGTCGACTTAAGTTGGAGATGACTTAAAAACCTAACAACAGTGTTAGAAGACCTAATAAAAACCTATTTCATGAGACAAATAGTCCTGAACCTGATGTATTAGAAAATATAGCTTAGTGATTCAATGTTTAGCTGATTATTTTTTCATTTCAGCTTCATCTCTGAATAATCAGCTTTTATTATAAACTGCACTCAGTATGTTTTTCCTGGCAGCACCTAAAGGTGACACAAATATTTTCTGTCTGAAAAAGATTAACCTTTTAAACAAAACAATTAAAAGTTATTTACATCCTGAGACATGCCTCTTCTACATTGTTGTCTAGAGACATGAATTCATAAAGATGGCTTTCTAAAGCCAATCCTGCCTCAGCTGCAACATCTGTAGCTTGAGGATCCTTTACAGACTTGTTGCATTGAGTGTGATCCAGCACAGCTGGATGAAATCAAGGACAGCTTTTAGCCTTACAGCCTACATCCCAGTGAGTTTGCTCCCACATCCGTAAAGGACTCTTAAGTTATACAGGTACACACCTCAGTTAACAAAGGGCCTTTGCAGACTGCCAGAAATAGTGCACATTAAATTGAGGCACTGCCCTGGCTCAGTGCTAGGGAATCATGGGAACTGTAATTTATTGTGGCACCAGAGCTCTCTGACAGAGAAGGCAGTCTCAGAAAAAAAATGTCTCAGAAAAAAATACAATTCCTATGATTCCCTAGCAGTGACTCAATTTAATGTGCACTATTTCTGGCAGTCTGCTTAGGCCCAAAGTCTCTGATTAAAAAGCTTTTAATTACAAAATCTATTTATGAGAACCCAACTCAGTCCGCCCTTTTCTTCTCCTCTGTCTAGCTGGAAGGTTGTTGTTATTTTTTTTTTTTAGCAGCATTGACATTGTAAGGATGTTAAAGGACCACTGGAGAAAGACAAACCTCCAGCACTGGGCTGCAACAGTATGTCTGTAGTAAACAATGCAATAAAGCTTGAACTGGGAGAGAATTTGATTCTATTCCAGATAATCCTACTGTAGCTATGTGTGCTTACATATAGCAGACAAGGTTAACAGCTGTTTCCAGAATCACTTATTAAACACATGCAAAGAATAAAACAGGAAGAAAAGGGGAAAGTAGATTAGCCTGCCTCTCCAGCTATCTTGCCATGTCGAAAAAGCATCCTAAAATGCAAAGACGTACAACTCAGCACAAAAGTCAGAATCATACAAGGCATTGTATTCCCTTTTGCCATGGATGGATGTGAGAGCTGGACAGTCAAGAAAGAAGACAGGAGGAAAACCAATGCATTTGAGAGAATGTGGTTCTGGAGAAGGGTGCTGAGGATCCCATGGACAGACAAAAGGACAAACAAAGGGGTCCTAGAGCAGATTGTCGTACTTTGGAGACATCATGAGAAGGCATGAATCATTGGGAAAGACAATAATGTTAAGAA